TACTCAGTTAAGTATATGCTTACTGGCTGCCACACCCACCAACACACACATACGCACACACACGCACACTCGTCACATCAAATCATCAATCACATGCTTTGGTGATTCATTGATAAGCTTTCTTCTCTCATGCCCGCTGTCTTGCTTTTGTGCATGTGTGTGTGCGTGTGTGTAGGCGTGGCAATCATGTTAATAAAGCCGACCATTAGCCAGCACCTCGACGTGCTCAGTGCTCAGCATTCGGCACAGCTTTAAGACAGCTGCCATTTAGGCAAATTTTTAAATTAAAATAAAGCAAGAATATAAGAAGAAAATTAAAGAAAATTTATTTTACGCTAAGTAAATACGCGGGGCTATACAGAATTTTGTTTATTTAAAAAATTTTTAAAAATCAATTTAAACATTTTTTATGCTTTGTTGTTCGTTTCTGTTCGTTTCTTTCTTTCGCGTTATTTTTGATGTGGTTATCCGGGCAGCAGGCACCGAGGCCCGTGTAAACAAATGAAAGTTTTCTGCGGCTGCCAACAGCAGATGCGATTATTTAGCTCCCATTCGCTCTCTCTCTCTCTATACGGGTGAGTAAGCGAGTGCGCGGAAAATGTGCAAAAAGGTTTACATAAAAACTTTGCTATGGAGAGGTATACCCCGTAAACTAAGCTAGTTATGTAAAGTAACTGAAATAACAGGTAAAGGCTTAGAGAAAGTCTTGATCAGTGCACACAGTTAAAATCCACAATATTTTTAGATGCCTCAATATCAATTCACAGGGTATTTTTAAATGGGTCACTTCTAGTCAAACTGACTTGATTTTGCTCTTGTTATTGCCATCGGCATCAAAAGCATGCGCCATTAATGTCAGAAGTGTAATTGTTTTTAAATCGCTTTGATAACGCCTAAAAAGTGTCGCACACAAGCAAAAATTTCACAAATTTATTTCGAGTGTGTATTAGAATCAATCGAATACGTCGAGTGCTTTATTGAAATTGACCCAAAAAAACAACTATGGTTAGTCGCTTGTATATAAGTTTGTGTGTGTCTGTGTGTCTTTCAAATGTGCAAAAGGCATTAGATGTAAGCTGTCTACTTGTTAACGTAATGCCACAAAGGCATCAAAATGTGCGCAAATATGCTTATTTAATGGCCAAAAGACACTTGGCCACACTTGGCGCTCTTGGCAGACGATTGAGAGAGCAATGAAATGCCGCTGGCAAATACTTTAGGGCAGCGCATAAATGTTTATGCGTTTGTTTTGACTTTGTTTTCAGTTTAACTAAAATGAGCTCATCGAAAATCAAAACAAACATCCATTCAGAAATCAAAGAATTCGATAATACTTTGTTACCTAGCCGGTTCAATGTGCGCTCTAAGCTGATAACAATTTTTATAATGATAATTTCATTGCTTAAGATTATGAAACTGATGCCATGATTCATAATCCACAATGCATATAGATTAATTGAGTCAGTGAGTTATAATAGATCTGAGCAATAAACTGCCAAACAAAAATAAAAATAAAAATAAAATAATAATAATGGTAATAGTGATAAAGAATGATAATAATAATTATAACTAAAATACATCGACTAAATTGTTTTTTTTTTTTTTTTTTTTTTTTTTTTTTTTTTTGTTAAGGTAATTTTTTTTATTTGAAAGTTTTCTGTCTTTTTTATTAAATTGGAATGAAGATACGAAAAATTAATATTTTTTTAGCTAAAATGAGCTTGATAATATCCTATTAGATTTCCAGTTTAAACAGCTGTAAGAAGCGTTAGCTTTACAAACCTTGCTACTAAAGAGATATGTAATCTGAATTGTAATTTGATTTTTTTCGGCTTGTTCGGCTTCCTATCGTACTTCAGCTGCAGTAGAAGCTATTTGCTAGCTCTTCGCATTTGCATATCTGCAAAGAGATCTAGAGAAGGCCACACTTTCCATTCGGGCAGCACATATTGATATTTAAACAGCCTTAAGCTGTATTTTAATAAGCAGTCAGTCACAGGACATACACTCTGTGTGGACAGCGCTGCAGAACGTGCCACAAGCACAATAATGTAAGATTTCATAAACAAAAAACAAACAAATCACTAAAATGAAGGAGAAAGCAAAGGGCAATGGCGAATGGCGTCTCCCTCTCTCTCACTCCTACTGCTTCTGGTACTGCCTACCTTTGTTGTGGAAGTTATTTTGTTATTGCTATAAGGGTTTGTTCTTATTGTTGTTAGTGTGGTGGTCGCTGTTGTGCACCGCAAAGGGCAGCAGCTAAAGAAGCAGAAGAAGACGTAGAAGAAAAAGAACAACAACAAAAACTACAACAACAGACAACATAAACAAAAGCCGCGCGTCACGTCGAAACATTTCCTGCAGCCATTTTATGTCTTGCTTTTGATTTTCCCAGTTTTTTGTTTAGCGGCTGGTTCTTGGCTCTGGTTTAGCTTCTCGATCTGGTTCAAATCATTGTTGTCTCTTACACATTTTAATGGCAATTAGACGATGATTTTGAATGCTATTGTTGTTGTTGTTTAATTTTTACCTTCTCTGTTATACCGCAATAATGCATGCAATAATAATGATAATGATAATAATAATAAGCATTCGCCCTGTGGTACTTTCATTTAACGACTCAGGTGCGCAGCCATATGTAAACATGGCTAGTGGCCTTTGTACTAAAGGTAACAATTATCAAATGCTGAGAGCCATGTGGCATGGACTTTATATGCATATTAATTAAAATGAATATTTATTTTTTCTGCTATAAAATCCTTTTAATTTTTGCTGATTAAATTTTGTAAACAGAGTTCATTTAATCTCCATTTGTTAGTATTTAGATAGAACAAACGTTTCCATTCGGCGTCCCTTATTTAACGAAGTTCTCCTTTGCCTAACCCTTTGCTGGCATCTTAGCAGTCCCATTCAAAAATCAATTAGAAACGGAAAATCTCTTTAATTCGGCCCTCGACTGGCTTTCTGCGAGCTAATAAAGAGTCGAAAAGCGCTTGAGGCCAAATAGCCGGGCGCTAATTGGACATCGAGTGGATTACTTGGCGTAGCTCATTTACCCATTCTGAAGCACCCAATTGGCAAGTCTCGACCTCTGCTGAGTAGTTGTCGACCAGCAGTGCACGCGCATCTATTATCATCTGCTTCAGTTTCCTCCGAGCACAACAACAATGCATTCAAGAGTCTTGGCATGCGAATGAGAACATAAACATGAACTTGTGCCAGCTTTGCAATTTTGCTGAATAAGTGCGGCTGGGGCTGCTTGGGCTGCTTGTGGGCTTCATTACGCTTGATTTCTTTTGAACCTGCACACAGACATAGTCACAGAGCTCTGAGCACACAGCACACTTGCAGTAACATTAAAAGAGCGCTTAGTTTATGCTTCGTTAGCCAGCCTGGATGGCTGACACGGCTTCGTCCAGGCGTCAAAATGCCTTACCCCAGAGCCGGCAATAAAAGTCATATGAATGCTGAGGCGCGTCATCAGTGAACAATGGAGCCTAGGAATTGCTGCCAAGGGGACGGCGGACAAAGGAAGGTCCGGCTCTACAGCTGAAGCTGAAGCTACAAAGTACATTTGACAGGAGACGGGCAGGCAACGGGTAGGCGGCTGACAGGCAAACAGGCGGGCTGCCGGACTGCCGGCGACAGGATGCGGTCACAGGATGCGACTAGCTTGTCTACTGCGGTCTGCAGTCGACTGACCATCGACCGTCTGCATGACCGACACCTTTGTAAACAGCACACAAACACACACACATAGACAGGCACATACACATCAAATGAATGGAGAACCTGTGTAAACAAACCCGAATCGCATAATGAACTGGCTTGAGCTGGCTTGAAGCAAGCTTAACTCGCAAAACCTGTTGAGGAACCACTGACTGCTAAGCGAGCAACACTTTTTACAGCGTCACAGGCCATCCGTGTGCCACATGCTGGAAGCCATTTAAATGTTATCGCTCGCTGCCTGGTTGTTCCACAGTACGACATACCCCGTACCCACAGCGGCCTCGGTCATCTAAGTCCTCTCTGGTTGCTGTAACCGCAACCGCCGGGCAAACGGCAGCACTTGCTTTGGTTTGAATAATTGACCAAAAAAACGATGTCTGACCACAACAAAGCAGCAGCCAAAAGGACAACAAACCAACAACAATTAGAGAGGTACAAGCAGAAAGATCACTGCTCATTGCTACCCTAGGAATGTGAGGAGGAGACTAGAGATTTGTATTGATAAACTACTAAGCTTATCTATATTATATATCATGTCATCTATCATCCAAGTATATTTCCCCAGTTACATTCATTCGGTACCTAGCATTCTACCCAACTTGCTGGCCATTTACAGGGTATTATTATACAAATTTTTGAAGCACAACCGCAAGGGCTAAAACGCTCTGCAGACAGCGCCAGCTTTGATTTAAATTCAATACTGTTTTTCTTCTCCTTTTTTTTTCATTTTCACTATTTTCGTGTTCGCTGAAAGCCCGAAATTTGTTTGCATAAATCATTGGCCCAGGATTGATTATGACAAAAGAAAAGCCCGACAATCGATTGCAAATCCCCAGCACGTAACTCATTTATTTATGTATTTTTTGGCTTCGTTCGCTCTGATATGCCACAAAGGTACAACAATCCAGTCAAACACAAACACCCAAAATACAAATGACAGCACATTAGCCGCAGCGGATGTTGGCCTTTTCATGCCTGACTGCCCACTTGGCGGCCAATGGAAAAAAGAATAAAAATATATTTTGTGCACTTTTATGCACACACATACATATATGTATATGTATGTATGTATATCCATAGGATAGGGTAGCCGAAATGTAGCCCCAGAGAGCTGACCACCAGTCAGCATACAAATGTCAATAAATTCATATGAACTTATCTCTTCCAGACAGCTTAATGCGCATTTTTATCGCCTAATCTAAAGTCAAAATTTCTACACAGTTGAGTTTTTCACAAATCAAATAATTCATAGCCAAAAATGCCGCACTTACCCCAATTCCCACAAGTGGCTTTCAGCTCGAGTTACTTTCACTTTCCAAAGGGGCTGCAAAAAGGGCGATAAAGAAATATGATTAAATTTAAATTCATATGGAGTCTATTTGTGGCTGGAATTTAAAACTTTGCATTTTTATTTTATAATACCTAATTCAGTTTAGTCATGAAAATAAACTTGATTTATTGAATACTTATGAGTAAGCTGGAAAGTTTTCACATTTTTATTACTTTATACCCTTAAAATTCCGTTAGTCTGTGTTTCAAGATTTCAGCATTTGCTTGATCCACAAAATGAAAACCCCATCCAACTTTGAGATAAACATAAATCCCTTAAGCTATATTTTCTTCTATCCCTTAACCCCATACTCCATTTTAGTCAAACTCAATAAATAGTATTATGATTGAAAATTTTTCCTATGAGTAAACTAAAGTATTTCGGCCCCAAATCAGAACGGGTATCAAACACTCAAGGTCAAAACAACAATATGGTTGATTTTTATCTGATGGTTTGTTATTGTTGTTGTTGTTGTGCTTGTTGGTTAACTATAGGCTGGGCCACTTGGAGGGCGTGGTTGGCCACTTGGCTGTGATGGGAACGACCCAAATAAAGTCACATATGTTGACTGCTGACAGCATTTGATGAACCTAATAAACTCTGAGCGAAGTGCCACTCAGCTCAGCTCTACTGAGCTCAGCTACCAGCTACCAGTTACCATCTACGAGCCCTGCCGAAACTGTTGTATAAAATTGAAGTACCAAACAGATATTCGTGGCCTACAGCCGTTGCTGTTACTGTTGGCATTGCCGTTGTCGTTGCTGTTGCTGTTGCTGTTGCTGCTGCCATTGACGTTGGCAGCAATTCAAAAATATCTTTTATTGAATCTCGGTAACCCCAAGTCGAGTGCGAGGAAGTAACTCGTCAGACCAAGGCCAGAACTAGGGGCGGAGCGAGCCATAAAAAAGATTAGCACAGGCCTCAGAGCAACGGGTCAAAGTGTATGTGTGTGGGCGTATACACACACACACACACACATGTATATATAATTGAAGTGTGCTCGGAGTGACAGCAGTCGATGACATTGAGTCCCATCCAATACATTTTTTATACACCCACACACTCACTCACGACCCGACACACATTCATCGATAACTGGACATTAGCAGAGAAATGTCTTTGCACCAGCTTGAGGCTTGCAAGTCTTTACATTATATTGCATTTTTATGTATCTTCACATATCCATAGCACATGCAATATATCTAGAATCACACACACACATATGCACACGAATGCACGCTCACACAGCCGCCCACTCAGCCCCAAATGCATTTCGGCTACTGCATTATTTATAGTTTTTTATGTCATGGAATACGTGATTTCGCATAAATTGCACGCCCCACACTCAACGATGTGCAACGATCTCGCCGATCCGCCCGCCCCATGCGCGTTTAGCGCACTGCAATTGCAAATTAAATGCTATCAATGGAGGGGAAGGTTAGCAGGGACAGCCGCTAGCTGGCACTGCAGCGTGTATTTTCAATAATTGATGCCGCAACGAATAGATAAAATTCGCTTAAGCAAATGCTGGGTGTCGTGTCGAAAATAAAAACCGATAATATCTATTTGTTGGCATGCGCTCGACGTCGAGCTAGATTAACCCAACAGCAAATGCAAATAGATTAAGCATTACAGCGGCAAAATAAGGATGACAATTTGCATACTTCATGCAAAGATTGCTGCCACATCCAATGAAATCTAGAACAAAGCTGACTGCCAAACCACGCCGTCTGTCAGCCATGAAAATGTTATGCGGTGAAATTATGCAGGTGGAAGTGTAAACATTTTTAGTGCAATATTTAATATTGATAGTTGAATCTAAAGCACACACTGATAAACAAACGTTTAGAGTGCAGATTAAGTGCTCATCAAATCAAATACATATAATCCATAGATTTACATACACTGCATGCATTGAATATTTCAATCCAGAGCATAAAAGTTTAGATAAAATATTTGTAACATGCAGATGAGCATATAAAATGAAGAATACTCTTGATCAGTAGAACGAGCTGATTTGATTTATATAGTCCGCCTGATATGAGTAGCACCTTTAGATCAGATCAGTGGATAGAGTTTATTTCGAATCGGTAACTAAATTATACTCGAAAGTCTTTTAATTATTATGTAACATATAAAATTGTTTATAATTCTTAAAATTCAGAATAACGTCATAATGACTGATACGCATACGAGTATTAATTTGCATTAAAATGACCAATATTCAAGCATGTGGATGTTAAGAACTTCCTTGAAATCGGATAACTAATATCGGATAATATTAAAATAAATTTTGGATTATTTATAACAAAATTAAATTCCAATCAATTATAGAGCATTAATATGAATACCTATGCAAATATTAGTTTTAATGCGCTTAGTTTACACCATTGCAGAATCGTTTTTGATGCCATTGAAATTGAATGTGAAATTCTCGAACGACGCCCTGAGAGGCAGCTCTGCTGAGCGTGTATTCCGTATGCATTGTTTGCATTAAATTTACATAGCATTTCGGTACATAAGTCCGACTTTGTTCGGCTAAACCAGCGAGTTTCAGTCGTCTGTGGCGCAAATTGAATAATATATGGCAGCTCTAAGCGCATTGTACGCATTCCAGCAGAGCATTCAGCACATGGTGAACCATTCAGATGGTTGCTGGTCACAAATACACACACACACACACACCTACACACTCACCCGCTCACATTCTGTTTATAAACACATAAATTCTTGAGTAAATGTACTGTTAAGCCGTATTTTTCACACCGCCCAGCGACAAAGTGTGAATGGAATTGCGGTTGCTTACATACACATACACGAGTCTGTGGCTCAGACCAGAGCGCGTGCAAATCGAATTTCAGGTACAGTGGCAGGCAGAGAGTTTTCTAACTATAGAGGGAACAGCAAAAGAAAAAAAAAAAAAAACATTAATGCAAACATTACGTAAGTTTAAATGGAGCCGACGCCGGCGGACAGCAGGCGAGCAACTGGAAAATTGTGCAAATAAAAGATATTGAATTTACCGGTAGATGGTCAATGGGTAGCTAATAAACAGCACACAGACACGCAGCTCCAGGAGCAGGGAGGAGCAAACAAACCCACGAATATCGATTACGGCACACGCGACACTGGCATTCAGGCCAAAACGAAGGACCAGCTCGCAAAATGTTCTTTTCAACTTAAGCCATAAAATTTGAAGCGAAGGCCAAGCTGAAAGCCGCCCCACACATACAATATCAGCACTCAGCAGGCAGTCGGTCACACACAGGTGTGGGCAGGGCCCACTTGGACGTGGGGCAGCCAACACTTGAGCGGGGAGCCGGGAGCAGCGAGGCTGTGCGCCACTTAGTGGCCATGGGGCACAGCTGCAACTGCCGCCGCAGCTAAACATTCTATGCAAAAGTTCATTTCGGGGGCAACAAACAGTCCTCTCTGTGGCAGCCACATGTGAACCTCTTAAAACGCTGTCAGATGGGGCAATATCAGCAACAGAGCAGAGCAGGTGCAGCATGGGGCAGCCACTATTAAGTGAACACTCTGTGGTATTTATAATACGTGTTCTTGTTGCACAGTGCCTAATTTGTAGAGACTGTGTAAAGTACATGCAAAAGAGAAAGAGAGAGAGAGAGAGAGAGAAAGAGAGAGGGGAAAACTCTGCTAAAACTAATTTTTAAGGTATACAAAATTAGAGAGTCGAAAGTGCTTGACTAAGGAGTACCCTACACTTTGATAGAGAAGCTGACTCGAGTCGAGGCATTTTAGATAAAGTCCAGGAGAATTTCAGTTCTTGAGAGACAAATTAAATGAGTATATTGAGTATATATATACAGATTTTGTATGATAAGAGCATATCTTATATATATATGAATATGAATAAATTCTCGAATTATTTTTGATTATATTTAGAGTGTATGACTTGTTAGTAACCCCTAAGTAATAATTATGTTTTTGTTTAACTTCAAAAGATTTGCAGTCAATAATTATACGAAATTTGTAAACACATTATCGACCCCTTGGGGGGCATTTAATGGTTTGTCTGGCCATCGAAAGTGATATATTACTGATATATTTATCTCAGCTAAAAAATATATCAAAAATACTACAATTTTGGGCATCATTGAATACAAAATGGAATACAAAATGTAAAAAAAAATTGAGTAGCATATGAATTAAAAACTTAACATTTTTGTTCATCTCTGACAATCTGAAAAAATATTTAGCTGTGCCAGCCTAGCCTATCGAGAACAATTTAATGAGTATTCTAGCGCATTGAAAATGCATAATGTAAAATTAAGCAGACTAAGTCTAAATAATGTTCTTTTCCCCAAAGTATATAATAAAAGTTCAGCTGCGAATTTCCGTAATTGAGAGCAATTTTCATCGTTGGGTTAAGTTTGGTACATTTTATAGCAAGCTCTCCTTCGATGGGGACTCGAGTTGAGGGGCAACCATGCAGAGATGCCAGGCAACTAACTGCTTCTACATTTAACTACACAAACATGCACAAATACACATACACAGAGCAAGATAGACAGAGAGAGTGAGAGTGAGAGTGAGAGAGATGGATACACACTTACTCCCCTTCGCCTAGAGCTTTGACACGCATACGCTTAGTGCTTAGTCTTAACCCGAGGCTATCAAATCTTGTAGCTGACATTTATGTGTGTCTTACTACTATGGCTAGGACGATGGACGCCGGCCGTATAACGGCTCTAGCCAAGGACGTTACAAACACCCACACATACGCATTTATTCTGCTGAATAAATGTGCAAATTCCCTTAGAGTCAGCTGCAAGTGTCCGTATGTTGGCATTGATTGCGAGTGCGTGTGTGAGTGCGTGTGGGTGTGCGTGTGTCTGACAGTTGTCGCATCGAGTTTAATACTCGTAATAGTACGATTTTAATTGAATAATTTGCAATCGGCATCGCACCAGCTGTCAGCACATGACACTGACCCATGTTCCACGTTCCACGCCCTACGTCCCACGCCCACG